CATTCCTAGATATTTAAAAAACTCAGAAAATGTAAATGAAAAGGCCAAGAAAAGTGATACGAGTCGATAGAAAGGATTCAATAATGAAAATAAAAAAATCAGTAGAGACAGGACCAACTTACTTGGCGCGGTTTTATTTACAGGGTAATGCTAAAATGCAATTTGATTAATAACTAAAAGTGACTCAAGATAGTCTTTGGCTCTAGCTCTAGTTCTTGGGAAAAACCGCGCCAAGTGAGTAGGTCCGGTCTCTACTGATTTTTTTATTTTCATTATTGAATCCTTTCTATCGACTCTTATCACTTTTCTTGGCATTTTCATTCACATTTTCTGACTTTTTTTAATATCTTGGAATGCCTTATTTTGGCAAAACACGAGTTTTTCACGGAATCAATTGTGCGAAACTTTTACTTGGCTGAGTTTTTTAAAAAAAAATACCAGTTTTTGTCATTTCGGGAGATTCACCAATCATACACCAATCATACACCAATGGTATACAGATATCTCAGGAGAGTTTACGTAGAGCTTCGAAAAATCACATCAAATAGATTACACTATGGTGGATGTCATTATAATTACAATAAAGCGAGAGCTGGGACTGTTTGATTTAGCAGCGCATGCTGGAGAAAGTGGGCTATGAATGTAAATATTTTGTGAGCATCACATCGGCAGCTGATTGAAAAGATTGTCCCCGATCAGTTTTTAAATATTTTTAAGATTTTCCCTCTGCTAAATCAGACATTCCCGATTTTCGCTTTATTGCGGTGATACTCATATGAAAATTTAAGACATCGCATTCTGTTTTTTAAGTTTTTTTTTTTCGTATACATAATTTTTTTTTAGCTATCTTTGCATGGCAAGGAGCCGCATCAAAGTTTCAGATTAAAAAAAAAACAATTCATATGAGATAATCCAGTCCACCCGGGCCTTAAATTGAGGTCCAATTCTGTTTCTGAGGTAATGTTGCTAGCCAAATGCAGGTGCTATGCCACGGAGGAAACATTTATAAAGTATGTTTTTCAAATTTTCATCAATAGTCATAATAATTTAATTTCAATGCAACTCGTAATAGTATCTGCAGTAAAAAGAAGGGCGTCTGAATTGAAATATTTTACTTCCTGGTGATATGACATAATCCATGTTAGGAATCGGGTAATTGTTCTGTAGATTATCAATGAAATTTTTGAAATTCCTCATTGCTTGAGTAATCCTCAATATAAAAGTAAAAACACGAAAATGGAGTTCGTTCGAGTTCAAATATCTCGAAACGCTAAGGACTAATTCCTCATTGGCCAACTCGAACCGCCAAATGCAAATTCGGTGCACGGAGAGCGCAGTGGGTTTCGTCATTAATGAAAAGTGAGAGTTTCTAGGTAACTTGAATAAAAAATATTCAGCGCAGTCTAATTCTTGATTACAAACCTAATCACTACTTCGTTATGAAAAAAATATTAAATAATATACGTATTCAACAATCAAAAGATACTCTTAATCGATTACTGAAGCAATCAGTATTCTGTAAACGAAGAAACGAATTATAGTATCAAGCTATATTCGTTGATAAATATCCCTTTTTGTTGGACTGCAAATTAATAAATCCATCTCAGCAGAAATATTTTACAAACACTTAATGCAGAGATAATATGTAAATAGGAAATTAAATAAACTCATTTAGAAATGAGTGCAAGGCTAGGATCTATGTAGGAAAACATGCATTGTCTGAAGAAAATACGGGAAAGTCCCCAAGCCCGCCGAGCTCCCACAGCCTCACGTTTGAGCAAAAAAAAAGCGTTTTTACCCAAAAAGAGGTCTGCAATATATTCCCAGCATTGGAAGGTCACAAAAAATCCCAATGCCAAGTTTATGATGTTTCCCAATTTCCTCGTTATCCTATCTGCATCCCTGTTTAATGAGATTTTTTTCGTCTCACCACCTTTTTTGGGAAGTTGTGAGAACGGAGGTTTCGAAGGGGCTTTGGACGAATTTCAAAGATAATTTTGGAGACAGTTTGAATGCATATCGCAGCTAGCCAACATTAGCTTAGTTTAGTCAGCTCCGTCAGTAAATTGTAAGAGGGTCAATACTTACAAATATATTTTACTCACTACCACCTAAACCGTCTTATGCGGTTTCCTCAGGTGAGCCAATGATTTCACTCTTCGGAAAATAACTCGTATAGACATTGATAATCCGAGTGAGATTTAATTGCTAGGTCGAACGTACCGCTTAGGCGGTATACTCTTGAACCATTTTCATATCAACTAAATTCATATGGAGAATTTTTTTGCTTAATTCGTTGTTCATTATTTCAATAAAATCACAGATCATTTTTTTACTCATTCCTACTTTTGAATGAAAATCTTGTAGTTGTTCAATGATCAATTCAATGTAATAATTATAACTATCATCATCATCTTCAAATTACCACACAACAACATCCGTATGAATTCTTCCAGCTATCGTTGATAATTAACTTTTTAAGCAATTATTTTTGTTCTTGTGTGGCGACCAATTTTTGAAACTGAACAATTAAGGTTGTTGTCGCGAGAGAGTCAGGCTTAAAATTTACTACGCTCCGGGTTGATCTTCCGCTAAGCGGAAAATACGAATTAGAACATAAACTTTTGCGGGTGTACAGTTCCACTCGACTCACGCACACAAGAATCTACCATGCATGGATACATGTACACACAGCTAACGCTAAATGGTGCCGATCGTGGCAACCGCGCGCAGCGTGTCTCTGTTTTCATGTCTCTCTCTTTCTCACTCAATCTATTTATTATATTTATGAATCGTCCCTTTGATTCGTCATTGACTGTTCCAAACAGATTCGCGCCACTCGAGCAAAAAGCGTTGTTGTCGCGTCGCGCGCAACAAACCCATGTGCTCCGCCCACTGGGAGAAATAATGCTACTTTGAAAATTTATTGCTCTACTACGAAACTGACGATCACTTTTTTTTTTTTCAGTATATTGGTGGTCACTATTTCTACGTTCTGTGTTAATTTCATCAAAAAATGTCGAGTGGTTTTTTTTTTTTAATAAAAACGGTGAAATGCATTTGAACCCACGTTAATTCAAAAAATCATATCTCAGCTCAGAAACTGACGATTGGTTTTTCGTTGTGCTCATTTTGGAGGGAATTTTAAGAGCTATCTATAGCAAAAATTTAAAAAAAATCTGTCGAAAAACGGGTTTACACAACAACAACCTTAAAAAAACAAGTATGCTACAACAATTATGTCATTGTGGAGGATTTAGCGAAATGTATAGGTATATTTTTTTGCCATCAATAAATTGATGG